GGTCTGTTTATTTTGGTTTCCAATGTTTATTTACATTTTTTTGATTGTTTGTTTTGGTTTCCAATGTTTATTTACATTTTTCTGATGTCAACACACTTTATTTTCAAAAATTTTCGAAAATTTTCAGTCGGGATCTCGAAAACTTTGAAATTTCTCTTTGTTTGCAAATACTGGTCTGTTTATTTTGGTTTTTAATGTGTATTTACATTTTTTTGATTGTTTGTTTTGGTTTCGAATGTTTATTTACATTTTTTTGATGTCAACACACTTTGTTTTCGAAAAGACAGATACAAGATACACATTCATTCTGAACAGAGGAGGAAATTTTGGTCAGGTTTCTGGCGCGAATGCTTCGCTGTTCATCGTTTTGTTCGTTTCTTCGCGTCGAGGAGAGAAGGAAGACAAAAAAGAGAAAAAAAAGAGAAGAGACAAAATAGAAAACGAGTAGAACGAAGCCGCGATGAGAGATTCGCGAGAAAAGAGGAGAGACACACACACCAGGGAGCGATCCCTCAAGGCCTCGAATAATCACCTTTGATTTCTGTATTTGATATTGATGGCGAGAAAAATGGCCGCCATTGTGATACCCACGCTAGCCGCGGAGGTGAGTATCGCGTAAATCGTAATATTTACGGTCGTGTGCTCGATGATATGAAGCGTTCGATCTTTCGGCGGTGATCTTCCTCCCCAGACCAGGGGCTCACCCTTGGTCAGGTTTAACACCCCGGTCACGCCATTGAACTCGCCGACCTTCACCTCCCTGTCGCCTGTGTTAGAAGAAAGAACGCACACGAGTCTCGGACGTTAAGCCGCGTGGTTGCGTCTCATACTCACTTTGAAACTGTTTCAGCAGAATGTATGCTTTCCTTTCGTTATCGTAGAAACGTACCGGCCCCTGAAAAATCACACAGACACGGTCCCTCAGACGGAGATAGTTGCAGAGAATCACCGACCAACCCACAAACGATAATTTATTTACTATCGTTACTTATTTTCGTATTTTTCCATACGTATAATATATATACTTTTTTACTTGACATTCAGTTAAAAAAATAAAAAAATTCGGAAGTTCTGCAATTCGTTGCCAAGCGAAAATGGACGAATGTCTCGGGATTCATTAGAAATCGGCAGCTCAATAATTATCTCTCTAAAAGGAATACGATTTCTGGAGTTAATATTTCAAGAGACGAGAAATTTAAAGGATCCGATGCGAAAATTTCTACAAATTTTTGTAGAAAGTATCCAAAGTGGACTATTTAGTGGACGAAACAAATGTACGCTAGAAGACATATTTCCCTCTGCGATTGTCTGTGACTCGCAAGCAGGAAGACAATATTGAAAAATAACGTCGTTACAGGAATTCCATTTCATTACCATTTCCATAAATTTCGCAATTACGCTGCCTCGCGGAAGCCAAATCGTACCGATATCGACTTCGGCATCGCCTCGAAGTTCTCAATTTCATTAGTCTCCGGCGCGCGTTTGACACTCGTGGATCGTCTTCTCAAAGAACGAGGCGGCAGACGGCGTCAATTTGACAATTGCCAATTTTACTGGGAAATTTTTCGAAATAACTGTTTCCCTTCGCGTTTTAACTCGACCGGGTCTCAGCTCCCGGTTGATTAGACATTTCTGGAAGAGCTGGCATCCGTTTTAATTACGGCGACGTCCACGACATCGCGCGTCGTTTTTTTTACTAACCGTGACGCCCTCGAAGCTGGTGTTCCGAAGAGCCTCGAGGAACAGACACTCCCAAAGCTCGTCCCTGTACCTAAAATCCGATATCGTCTGATCGCGACGGTGGTGCGTTATCTTGCTCGCCACCCGTTGTATAGCCAGAGCGACCGCCCATATACCGTCGTACGTGTACCCGTGGAATCTCGAATACTCCTTGCCACGTCTCGAGTCGTACTCGACCTGGTACTGCTCGGTTGTCTGGGCAGAGGAGCAACGAGGACGTTAACGACGTTTCGCGTCGTCGTATTTCCATTCTGCCACACTATCCGTGGTACTTACGATCCCGGCTATCGTCTTCCGTTTCTCCGTCGTGATCGGCAGCAGGTCGGTTAATATAGCGCCGTGCAGAGCTTGCGCCAGCTGAATCGGCTCGCATCCGCCCCCGGGACGCAGCCACCATTCCTCCGCGTACGTTCCCATGATTACCCATTGATATTTCCTTCCGAACATACCGAATCTGCGAACGCGAATTTTTCTATTCGTTCCAACGTATTTTCCCCGATGAGCACGCAAAGGTGCAAGGAAGTGAAAATACGTATATGTGTGAAATGTTTAACACGGAAGAGGACGTAGGTATAAGATTCTATTGTGCATGTTTGAATTTATGAGAATTGTTCAATTTTTACAAGGGTGATGCAATTCTACGAGTGAAGAATAAATCGATAGGAAGAGCGCCTGATACTTTTTTTTTCATTGGACTCGTGGTTGGTATCAATTGGTCCATCGTTATTTGAATTTGATTTAGTGGAGTTTTGTCAGTCTTTGTTCGAGGTACCAAATCGAGCACCCAGAGTTTTAACAATGAAAAATAAATGAAATATAATTTCTTTATAATTATATAATTTATATAGAGATTTATAATTTCTATATAATTTCTTTCATAGCAATGATGTTAAGAAAGAAAATTTGATGATGTAAACTGACTGAACCCCTTCTTAGTGGATGAATATAATAATTTACGGGCCAGCGGTATTATTGTTTCTGAGGATTTCTCAAGTGAAAGTTGAATTTAGCTAATTCCTAATTGAAGAATGAATAACAAGACACGAGGATATTCTATAAAATGAGTGAAATATGAGTGGCGAATAAAACAGACTTTAAATACATATGTTTCGTTGAATTTTTAAATTGAATTTTCTCGCGAGCAAAGCATCTCACGAACAAATCTCATTCCACATTTTCGACGCATTCTCGCACGTAGAATCGCACCCTTCTTGGAGCGACCAGCGCCACATACCGAATAGATAAAATTATTTTTCTACGATAAATTAACAAATCAATTAGCCCAATTCTCCTGCAGTAAATTAACAGAATAATTAATTTAACGTTAAATGAATAAAGCAATTAGCCCGATGAATTATTATGTAAATGACTGTAACGAACACAATCGCGTGCGAATATTTCCCACAATCATTGTAGAAAATTTCCTGTTGCTTTAATTCATGAAAATTCATAGAAAGCACCATGTTTCATAAATAAATTTCTAACTGTACGGACATGCGCTTACTTATGCGCTTCGCAGAATATTCGCCTAGCCCACGCTTCGTTGAAATTCCCCAAGATTATTCGAACGTCTTTCTCCTTCAGCTTCTCGAGGGCCGACGTCACTTCCGTGGCGAAGCTTTGCGTCTCCACCACTTCCATCCTGTAGTCGTCCAGATCGGCGACCAACCGATTGTGTGCCTGTAAATGCGAGCGAAATGTTCTCTCGTTGATATCCAATGTCACACTGGCGCGTGTGTCAAATGAATCATCATATTAAATGAATTTAATTTTTATTATAAATAACCATTTAACGCTAGAACTACCGACGACCAAACTGCAATATTTGTGGCAAAGAAATTAAAGTGCAAGATACAAGAAGATAAATTAATAACACGAACTTCTGTTAACCTTCTATGGGCCGAATTTTTTTCTCACATATGAAAAAAATTTATGCAACGGGAAATCAACAATTATGAACCTATGTATGCAGATTAAAAAAAAGAATTTACCAGTTTGGACAATTNTTATTATAATTAATTCACTTTGTAACTTTGAAGTAACAACGGCTTACAATATTTGCACTTCTGTGCATAAAAGCTTAAGCGCGAAATTCCATAAAACAGTTTGCAGTTGGCGTTAAACATAGATGTGCGTGTCCTCTGTTGTCCGTCATCAATAATTGTTATTGGTTATTCTCAGAGACATTATATAATTAAGACGTATACGTCATCTTGTGAAAAAAACTAAAATTATTTGGTAAAATGTCGATATATTGGCGTGTGATCTGAAAGTTACACGGGCCCATAGAGGATCAATGTATTTTATTAAAAATCACTCGAGTATCTAGAAACATAATACGCTGTTACAAATGTACAAAATTTCCATAGAAAATTATAAATTGGTCATTTTGACCACTCTGGTAGTTCTAGTGTTAATGTATTATAAATTTACTATATTAATACAATTATTACTATATTAATACAATTATTATAAACAATTAAACAATAAGAAATTAATCCTAAACCATCTCGTCCCGGTCAAAAGAACTGAGAAAGCGTCCAAACATTTATGAAAGTACGGTGCACGTATTTATATCACGTTTTTTCACTTACGTTTATACGTCGCATGTAGATTTATTTCCTCATCGAATCACACTTGCATTTCACGATGATGATCAAGTTGAAACAAACGAAGCGAAACTTGCTCCGTTTTCAGAACACAGAACAGCAGTTTAAACGTATTCTTTCTTCTTCTTCTTCTTTTTTTTTTTTTTTTTATCCACGAGTATTCATAGATTCGTTAACAATTCAGATTGAATAACGCAGGCAAATTGCGATTGTACGCGATGGTTGTATCAAGCGTAAAACGAAGAGAAGAGAGAGGGACGGTTAATAAAAAAAGAAGAAAGAAAAGAATGGTATCGAGCACGAAGCGGAAAGGAAACGGGCAAGTTTGAAACGGTTCGTTGGAGAGGCTTCGCGGTGGCGCGGATTCGATGAAAGCTCGGCTCGCGCGCAACGTGACGTTGCCAACCGTTACCATTATGCCCTCGGTTTGGATTTTTATCCGGTCGTTACTCACCAGAGCGTATCTCGGCTCGTTCTGATAAATGGTACCGACCCGGGTCCAATTGAAGTGCATCAGAAGCGCCACGCGCGGCGCGTTGAACGCGTTCTCCGAAGGCACCACCCTAAAGAAATTTGGAAAGCTGTCGCTGGTGAACATCGGGTGCGTGTCTGCGTAGCTAAGCTGCAACAGAATTCGTAACGCCGGCGATCAAGACGAGAGAGAGAGAGAGAGAGAGAGAGAGAGAGAGAGAGAGAGAGAGAGTAGTGGAGATCCACAGAGTCGCTCGTTGTCGGGAGAGGGAGCGTTCGGTCGAGGTTTTCAGAAGGACGGTCGCAAACAAGGATTCTCTTGGAATTTCTCAGAGTTGAGAGTTGTAAGTTACGTTCTCCCGTTGAAGTTCGCCAACTTGCAGAGTCGCGCAGAGTGGACATCTTACGGCTTGATATTGGGAAGTTTCTGGTAATCTAAACTTTCTGCTCTAACAATCTTATCCACGGTCAAATGGATACTACGTATCTATTTGTGAAGATGTTGGGACAGTTGTTGCTCGAAAGATTGGTTTGTTTAGATTTGGTAGATTATTCCGTATTATCGAGAAGACATTCGATATATATGTATATATCTTCCATTTGTATCGTGTTTGTAGTAACTAATGAATGTTTAATCACGATGATTTCAGTTATGCTACTTCGACTATAAAAATTAGTAGAAATGTTTCTTACATAAAACGATTCTATAGATCCTAACGAATATCGACAATTAATATTGCTTATCGACGATTAAATTTGCTGTTATTTTTTAGATTTAATTTAATTCCATCGCACGAAACAGCCGTGTCGTCTCGCGAAAATCATTCACCGAAGGTTCATAAAAAAAAAAAAAAAAAATCAGTCAATTAGACTCACTGAAAAATCGTATCGATAAATTGACAAAGGACATCAACAGACAAATACCTAGCAAACTCGCCAAGAGACTCGTGTCTCTCGGTTTTCCCAATTTCACCGAAGTTCACCCAAGAATTCACGCGCGAAGACACGTTTCGTTCCGTAAACAAGTAAAATACAAGGAACGCAAGGGCGTAAAGGGTTCGTTCCACCTCGTGTTGTTCAATTATCGCGAGAGGCGCGACGTGACACGGTTCTGAAAAACTTCGACTCGCTGTCGCACATTCGCGGCACGATCGGAGTCAGCGGCAAGTCAGTGTTTCTAACTCACCTGCGTGAGACGCCAGTGTTTCGATGCTTTGGCGATGGGATCTGTGACGTGTGTGCAAGCTGCTCCGAATAGCATCACCTTGTGCGGCCCGCTGTGCATCATGTCGAAGAACGCCTTCACGCCAACGGCGGCGTTGCACTGCAACAAAAAAAGTACAAAGAAATGTTCGACTGATCATCGAGGAAGATCATTTCGTGTGATTTCACCGCACAACATTTTCGTGAAAACAAGTGACACGCGTGTGACAAGTATTTGACAGTACGATTGTTGACCCATCGATAAAAAAAAGTAACACCAACGATGAATCTCGTACAATAGTAACACGAGTACTGGTAAAACGTACTCGAACGTGTCTGTAGAAATTTTTTTATCAATAAATCATTACGTTGTTGCAGAGCAATTACTGCTAATATCGTTTCGAAACAAATCTAAAGACTTCGTAATTACAAGTCTCTACTCCACGTGTTTCCACTTGTTCTGACATTGTCGTAATCCTATCGATTAGTCACTCCTGTCCAACGCGGAATTAATCAAATTCAGGTCTACACTACCGCACGAAATTTCTCGAGAAAACTTTCCCTCGACGAAACACGCACGTACGAATTCAAAGTGTCGACAAATAATGGGAATTAATCGTGCTCAACAATCATTTTCATTTGCATTGAAATTACCGACGCTACGACTGTTGTAATTAATTACGATTTGGAAATGAAGCACTCGTCTCTCTCAGAGAAACATCCCCCCAAAAAACGAAACACCTCGAGTGAGACGAGACTGTCTTTTCCATTTGTCGCGCGTAGAAATCATCCCGTTGTGCTGTGCGACGATCGCGTACCTGTATAAGCTAGGATCACTACCACCCACCGTGTTCCTTTGCCTCGATCTATACACACCTGGCGCGCCGTTATTCGGCTCGGTGTCTTTCGCCGGCCTCTATTTTTATTTTCACGATAGCGTATAGCAACCTCATTTGCATAGTATGAACGTGCCCGCGTATATTTTACGACGATGCCCGAGAAACGTCAGGAGCACAGCCCGGGTAACAAATCCCGTGTGTCAAAGTGAAGCCTGCCGCCCGCCCGCACTCACCCCGTGCCTTCCTTCGTCGAGGATGCTCGAAGACAAGCTACTCGCGCGCGAGTTTGAGAGCGCGAACCCGAGAACAAACGTGGTACGTGTAGCCGGCTGGCTATATTAAAAAAGGAGTGCAAAGAAGCGAACAGCCGAGCGACAAAAGGACCAGTCTTCCGGATATACGTACACGCACGCACATACGTCTCGGTTGAATCAAGTCCTTTTTTTTTCTCTCTTGACACAGCGAAAACTTGAGTTTTATCAAGTAACGGTACATTTTGTAAGAAATTAAGGAACTACAAAGACTGCTGATTATGGTAATACAATGTAATGATGAGACTAACAGCAGTCACTGGAACAAATCGTTATTTACTTGCAGACATGAAGAAGTTTGTTAACATGAAATATATTACAAGTTAATAATTTGTAAATTTTGTTATAGTGAAATATAATGTAATGATAA